AAAAAAAATAGATAGATGGATGGATAAATGAAGTGAGGGTGTTGTGTTCTAGGGGAGGATACAGTGTGGCTCAGTGGTAGAAAACTTGCCTAGTAGGCATGAGGCCCTGGGTCTGATCCCAGCACCACAAAAATATATAAATGAATAAATAAATATATCAAATCAACTTTTAAAAAGTTAGTCAAGGGGCTGGAAGTATAGCTCAATGGTAGAGCACCTGCCTACTATGGACAAGGCCCTGAGGCTTGATTTCTAGAAGGGGATAACCTAGACAAAACTAAACTAGAATAGTTAACAATATATCCTTGACACAGTGTAACTTATCACTGTCAAGAAGCCTCCCTAAAAGCCTCTGGCAGATCAAAAAGAAACAGATCTGGACAAAACAGAACAGAGTAAAAACTGTAATTGTATCACCTTTCTAAAAGCTCACTTATACTTTGTGACCTATAAGTTTATCCTCCACATTTGATGACTCATGTACAGCTATATAAAATATATAATTGCCAGCAGAGATAATTTGAGCACAGGAGTCAAAAAGTCATTCTGAATCCAGGTTTTGCCATTTAATGGATGTATTATACACATCTGTTTCCTTAACTTTCTGTGCCTCAGCTACTTCACCTGAAAATAGAAGTAATACCTACATTGTAGGGTTATTGTGAAGAGTATGACAACACACATAAGCCTCATAGAAAAGTATCTGGGATTTGTTTTGTTTTGAGGTATTCCCATCTAGGGAGGCTTCTTGACAGTGATAAGAACTTAAGAACTTAAGGAGCTACCTATATCCCCAACCCTTTTCAGTTTGTGATAGGGTTTCACTAGTTGTTCAGGACCTCTCCAAGTTGCTGAGACTGGCTTTGATCCTCCTGTCTCAGCCTCTAAAGTCACTGAGATTACAAACATGTACCACACCAGGCACCTTTGTATTATTACAATAGTTACCAAATTTAAAAAATATATATCACTGGTAACAATTACTGCCTATATTCATAAATACTTCAAATGGCATACAAGTTAAACCTCTCACTATATTAGACAAAAGACCTTTGGGCTGAAGTGTAGCTCAGTGGTACAGCCCTTGTCTAGTACCCCTGAGGTCTTGTGTGTAACCTCAGCACCAAAAAAGAAAGAAAGAAAGAAAGAAAAATTAAAACTTTAGATGTTCACAAAAGTCTAATAATAAGCCCAACTATTTTAGAGATAACATTCAAACGCTCCAAAATTTGCACTTCATAGTAAATTGGTAAAGAGTGAAATTCTAAAATTTCAAATTATATTTCCAAATTAAAGGGAAAGAGGGGGGGGGCAGTCATCTGGAACTTACCAGAGAAGATGAACAGAGAAATTTCCAATGCTATGAGATCTGCTTAAAGCAACAAGATCTATTCACTGTTTGGAAACCTACCATGGGTTTGTTTTCAAGTGTAGTCAGTGGTTTAACCTCATTTATCACTTAAACCTTAAAAAGAGGCCACTTTTAATCTTGAATAATCTGAACTTGAAAAATGTTACAGATACATTATTTGCAGGAGCATTCTATTACATTTCATTTCTCTCCAATAACTTTAAATCAAAGGGCATCATTAATAAAGGTCAATATATATATTCCCCTTTAGTAAACCATCCTAAAAAAAAAAAAAAAAAAACCACACTGTTTTCACCTGACTACCTCACCCCCATGCAGTGTTCTACCACTGAGCTACCCCCCCAGCCTCTAAGTATTTTTAAATGAATGCTTTAAAGAAATGTTAGCATAATACTTATAAAACAGGCAGGGAATGTAACTCATGCTTAGCATGTGCAAAGCCCTCCCTGGGTTAGATACCAATCACCACCAAAAGGAGGAGGAGGGGGTCCCAAAAGTTTTTAACATCTTATAATTGTCTAAAAGGTTTCCATTCCCAATACTCTTATTTACCCCAAATGCTGGAACATATGAATTTTAAAAAACAAAATTTTCCTGGACGACCCAACACAGCAAGAGTGGGTTATTTCAACATAAAAGCAGAAAATTAAATCGTATATATTTTCAAATGACCACTAAACAACTAAAATCAGGTCCTACAGTAACCACCTCAGAAGAGAGTCATCTCAGAAACTGGATATTGAAAAGGTACAGTATAACCTCAATTTTTTTTTTTTTGGTGTGTGTGTGTGTGTGTATAACAGCATTCACATCCTGTTGTCTACAGTTTCAAAATCTTCA